AGGGAGGGAGGATACATGCCTAAGCCTTGGCCTTGGCTTGCTAGTCTGATCACAATCCCCAAATCAGACAACCCCCAGCTTATGAATACAGTGTGGCAGAAATTCAGTGTTCCTAAAACACATGTTCCCATGAAAATGAGATTGTCATTGTCAGGGTTCCACAAGGGCCCCTTTAATCGCCAGTTTGGGCACCACACTACTGATTCTATTAAACACACACACAGATCCTATGATTGAAGACCCAGGCAAGACACTGGAAGGAGGAGTTCGACACTCTGCCCTTTTGCATTGGGCCACCTTAGGACAGCCAGGAAGGGGACCCTTGACACCCTCCTCGTCTCCCTGTGCTCCCCACTCGCCTGCCTTACAGCGCACATCTTATCTCCTCCTCCCTGTCCCTCTACTCACCCTGCCATGGCCCCACTTTTCAAAATCCCACCGCCACCACCACCACTTCCCAACCAAAACCTTGGGTCCTTCTGTTCAGGTCTGGGCAAGGTTTCAAAAGGAAAGCACTGTAATTGAACTAATCCACACTAATACAGAACTGCCTGCTGGCCAAGAGCTAATAATGATAACACCAGCCTCATACCAACCTTTGTGCATGCTGGGCACCATGCCAAGCTCCTGCCGGGCACCACTACACTCTACCCTGCCAGTAGCCCATGAGAGGCGCTATTGTCATCTCCATTTGAATGATGAAAACCCAGGATGGGAATGCCTCACACTGGTGAGCCCGGCACTGGCACAGGTGTGTGCTCAGCAAGCATTTGATGAGAACAGGGGGCCCCTAGGACCCCACAGTAATAACCACCAGGACTCTCACTCACTGTGCTCATACCAGGCGCAGGCATTCAACGGGGGCTTCACAGGACAATCGCGTAACAAAATCCTGCCAGTCACCTCTAAGGCCAGTACTATGCCAACATCACAGGGAAGGAAACCGAGGCTTGGTGAGGTTGGTGACGCAGCACTCATCTGAATTACGGATCGATGCAGTGTGGCCAGTAGCTGCACAGTGCTGTCCCTCATCTCATCACTTTCGATCATGTCTGAACACGCCTGAGGTCTGGTCTTTTCAACAGAATGATATTAACCCAAACGCTTCCCTAACCATTAGGATTTTGAGCGTACGCAAAGTAGAGCTCAAAACGCACAGGCTAGAGCAGCTCTCTGGGGCGAGGTGGTTACTATTCTGCAAACCNACAAAGTAGAGCTCAAAACGCACACAGGCTAGAGCAGCTCTCTGGGGCGAGGTGGTTACTATTCTGCAAACCCCTTTGATCAGACCTGCCCGGGGCCCCTGCCTTTCCCTACTGCCACTATTGAACAGACATGAAGTCAAAGACCTAAAACCCTGGCCTTGCCGATTATCAGGCAAAATACACCTGTTTTATCCTTTTGCCAGGAGGAATGTAGACCCCATTCTAGAGGATTATACAGATTATAAACGTGTGAGGAAACACAAATCATGAAATACGCTGTTTGAGACTCTGGGGCAGGGATAAAATAATGTGGGCATGTAATGTGAGTTACCAGCAACCCGGGAGACCACAGTTTGTCAAAATCCCTGCAGATCACCCCTGGTCAGCAGAAGAAACGGAGCAACTGGGCTACCCCACTCTCGCGGAGACGCGGTCTGTTCTGTATTAAACTTTCTTCCCACTATCCTGTGGCTCTGTGATGCCAAGTGGCTCCTCCTGAACACCATCAGTCATTATCACTACTTTGTCTAGCACCTTGTCCTTCTCTTGTACAAACGATGCCCTTCAAAATTGTTACCGCACAGTAATAGCGGTGCTTTGGTTTGTTTGCTGTGTGGCTTTGGAAGGCCAGCTCCTTCTCTCAGTTCCAGCGTGCAACCAGTGCGTGAAGCAGCCAAGGACTAGCTTCTTTCTCTCTCGCTGACAAAGCAGTTTGACTGTGGCGCAGAGGGTGTGGGAGGGTGTCCTCCTCTGAATTGTACTATGTGTTAGTGTTGAAGGCCAACAGTTATATACAGGGCAAGACCTGAAAATGCATCCATCTGTGCTCTTGTTGCTGATGGCGCCTGAAGTCAAAAGCCAGGCCTTTAACGAGGCATCGAGACCGTCCCTTGGGCATTCCTCTGTGCTCAGAGTGCAGAAGGCTGGTGACTTGGTTTATGATTTCTATGAGCCCAATGGATACTCTAACCTGACAGAAACTACCATTGCCTCTCATTAATTACTTGGACTTCTGACTGATCCTAAGGTTTTTAGCTAGGATGACCAAATCATCATAAATCTCTGTGTACTTTGTCAACATGGTATTGCTAATATCACACAGGAGATGAACTTGCACAACCAGATAAAGTATCCACAAAAAGCCATTAACAATCAGAAGAAAAGCAAGGTTATGACGTAGTGCTAATGAATACAGCAATCCTTACTGGGCTTTTCTTAATGTTCCCAAAAGACCACAACAAATCCACCCAAGTGGAATATTGTCATTCTGACTCAAATGTTTCTGTAAGAAATGTTCAGTATTTTCCACATGATGGAAAATCTTTTTTTAAAAGAGTGGCCAAGAACAATTCCACATCCTCTGATTGTTCTATAAACCTTCCCGTAAGTCATTAAGGAAAATGCCCTGAAAATAGCTTTAAGGCCAGTGTACTTGCCAGTACTACATATCCTTTCTTCCAGAAAAACAAACAGTGTTAACTCCATCCTCCGGCAGAGATCCCATGTGAAATGATTAAAAGTTAGCACACCAAACCATGCTGCCTACTGCTGCTCTTTAAGTGTGGGATTTGGTGTTGCAGGCTGTCCGTTCAAAATCTGTCCTTGCTGTCTGGCCAGTGTGGCTCAGTGGCTGAGTGTCAACCCATGAACCAAGGGGTCATCAGTTCGATTCCTGTTCAGGGCACATGCCCAGGTTGTGGGCTCCATCCCCAGTGAGGGGTGTGCAGGAGGCAGCCAATCGATGTGTCACTCTCACATCCATGTTTCTCTCTCTCCATTCCATCTCCCTTCCCCTCTCTCAAAAAAAAATCAATAATAAAAAAAGAAATGTTGGGAAGGGGAAGAAAAATGTGTGAGCTAGACTTGAGAAAAGTTATAAAAGCAAATGGTCATACTCTGGTAAACAGTCTGGTGCATTTTCTGAAACAATAAAACAAAGAATTACCATATGATCCAGTTATTATTCTACTTCTGGGTATATAACCAAAAGAATTGAAAGCAGGGACTCAAAGATATATTTGTACATCCTTGTTAACAGCAGCATTACTCACAATGGCCAAAAAGTGGAAGCAACCCAAGTGTCCACTGACAGATGAATGGATAAACAAAATGTGGTCCATTCATAAACTGCAATGTTATACAGTCCTTAAAAGGAAACAAATCCTGCCCTAGCCGGTTTGGCTCAGTGGTTGGAGCGTCTGCCCGCAAACTGAAGAGTCCCAGGTTCAATTCCGGCCAAGGGCACCTAGCTCAGCTCGGTTGCAGACTCAATCTCTTTCCCCAGGAAACCAATCTCTCTCTCTCTCTCTCTCTCTCACTTCCTTCCACTCTCTCTGAAGAGCAATGGAAAAAAATATCATGAGAGGATGGGAAAAAAAAAGGAAAGACATCCTGACACATGCTACAACATGGATGAACCTTGAGGACATCATGCTGGGTGAGAGAAACCAGTCCCTAAAGGGGAAATACTGTATGATTCCATTTATATAAGGTCCCTCGAGGAGTTGAATTCATAGAGACAAAAGGAGAACAGTGGTTGCCAGGAGACTGGGGAAGGGAAAATGGGGAGTTAATTTTTAATGGGAACCAAGTTTCAGTTTGGGAAGACGGGAAGAGCTATGGAGACAGATGGAGGGTGATGACGGCACAGCAATGTGAATGTACCTAATGCCACTCAACGGTACACTTAAAAATGGTTAAAACAGTAAATTTTATTTTAGGTATATGTTACCGCAATAAAAAATTAAACTGACACTTCAAATATTCCAATCAGAAATCTTCCAAAAATCTATCTGAAAGATGTTTTGCCAAGAGTTAAACAATAGCCCCGTAGTTTGGCCTGAGTCAAGTCAACACTGAAGCTGCACCTAATCGCCAGGGGCCGCCCACCTCCCATCACAAATTGCCTGTCCAATGAGGCCGGTGCTATGTGATGGGGTGTGACAGGGCTACCCAAAACCTCTCTGTCCCACAGCACATTTTTCTTTTTTCTTTTTTTTCAATTCTTACCCAAGGATATGTTTTTGTTGGTTTTAGAGAGGGAGGGAGAGAGAGAAACATCAATGTAAGAGAGAAACATCGATCGGTTGCCCCAAATGGGGATCAAACCCGCCACTTAGGTATGTGCCCTGACTTGGAATCAAACCCGGAACCTGTTGTTGTTCGGGACGTCGCTCCAACCAACTGAGCCACCNCAACCTGTTGTTGTTTGGGACGTCGCTCCAACCAACTGAGCCACCTAGCCAGGCAGCGCATTTCTGAATATGCACTGAATCTAGTCAGTCTCTACGGGTGGGAATGGAACAGAAGAGTTTGCTCTCTCTCTCTTTTCTACTCTCTCACCCCCACAGGAGAGCCCAATGGACACACATCTGCTTCTTTAGGCTCCCTCCCTAAAAACGAAGATGGACCAATGGTGATGGTATCCGTGCCAGCGTGACTGAGATGTGCACATGCTGTGCACTGGAACAGAAGGTGACAAAGAAAGTTAGTATCATTACTCTGTGCACTGCCTTGGTATTGGGAGACTACAATTAGAGAGGAGACTACAATTAGCCTCTTTGTCCCAAAAAAATGCCACTTATGAGGGAACTCTGTCACCTTGAAAAAGCATGGTGCTAAGACACCACCTGAAGCAAGCTGGTGGGCACACACGATACATCTGGAAAGGGAGGGTCTCTCCTGGTCCTGGAGGGGCTCGAATGCTGGAGATGGGAGTCCACAAGCAACACAGAAGCACTGAAGAGTCTTAGGGAGAAAAGCAGCATGGACAGGGTCTGCACAGTGGATATTCACCTGCGGGTGGAGCCAGCAGAAATGCACCTGGAAATGCAGGCGGGGGGCTGTCCAGTGAGGAGGCCACTGCACCACCGGGTAAGGCAGAGGCAGGAAGAACGGAGGGGACAACCCAGATTTGGCACCTGGCAAGATGAGGGAGTCCAGGAGAAGGGGTGGAGTGAGGACGGGAGGATTGCTGCTGGCTTGTTTCCTACCTGCTGTAAACTCACACAGTTTTCTAAATAAAACTATAAGGCAGTATTGATTGGAGAGACAGCATTTCTGTTTGTACTAAATTAGGGTATAAGTATAATCCTTAATAACATACGGTTAAAACTTTTACTTCCGAGGCTAAAAAAGAAGTCAAAGGAAGGAGGGCGGGAGCTGGTGGGAAGGAGGAGTGGGGCACAGAGGCCCCTAGGTTTCCTGACACAGCTGCTCTGAGCAAATATCCAAGAACACGCCTCAGCAACAGAGCCCTGATTTCAAACCCCCGTGTGTTCTCTCTAGCAGCTGCTTTACTCAGCTATTGCTCTAAATGCACGTAATGCCCTTTAAAAATATAATAATGAAGCCAATCTAGAAAAACACTCTGCAGCCAGAGTGTTTCACCTTAGGGTGGGAAAGAATGTAAAAACCAAAATCCGGACACGGCCTATAGGTGTCTCCTATTAAATACCTAGAACATTCCAGATGCAAAACAAATAGTTCCTGAGGACAGCTGAACTGCCTGCATAAATCGATGTGGCTTATTCCCAACAAGTTCCACCCCTGCAAAGATAAACAGTCTTTGGTGCCAACAGGAACCTTGAGAAACCTCGCTCTTCCAGCAAGATGACTCTGACCCCCATGCCGCTCCCACTACAGGAACA